TATATATATATATATATATATATAAATATATATATATATATATATATATATATATATATATATATATATATATATATATATATATATATATATATATATATATATATATATATATATATATATATATATATATATATATATATATATATATATATATATATATATATATATATATATATTGCGTTGAGACTATCTGATATGCATTTTAAAAATATCACAGCAATGCAGGCATGTTTAATTTGCAAATGATTTTTTCAATTTTTCGTACGACGAATTTAAGTTTTTTATCAAGTTTGTTCCGTTCATAAACAAAATATTTATCAATTTAAGTTTTGAGTGTTTTGTTACTGTGTGTCTTCAAATAATACATATAAAATTTTTCATTACTCTTCTTGGCTTAAAAAATAATAGTGATGATGGTGACGATGATGAAGACACTAAAGAATGATGACGGGTGGTTTTTAACATTGAAGGCAAATATTGTGATTTTAATCTTATTTCAGATTTACGACTTCAACTGTTAGACAATAAAAATGATTATCTCATAAAAAGCTTGTACGGTCTTCTAATGTTGTTACCCCAAAGTGATGCTTTCTACGTTTTACAGCATCGTCTGCAATGCCTGCCTCATCCTCCTCTCAATACGTCGCCGTGAGAAATTTTGTTTCATCATAATAAAGATATTTTTTGTTTTAACTGTAATTTTTTAACGTTGATTATAAATTTTTTGTTTAGCCTTAATGAAATAAAAAGTGGAAACCAAAATGAAAATGAGAACAAGAGAAATTTTATCTGTTTTGAAGACTTATTTGATCAGTTTTTGAAGATTCGAAATGACCATGGCAAACTGTCAGAATCGACAGTCAGATAGTTCTACATTTTTTAATGTTTTTTGATTGTAAATATTTTTTTAAAGATTGTGTTATTATTTGAAATTAATTCGTTTTTTCATTTTATAGCTTTACATTTAATTTGTAACTTGAACACCAATTTGCATGCACATTAACACACGCAATCATTCAAGCTAGTCATTGCGACGACTTCACTTTAATATAAAGGTTGCTATAATAAAATTTTGGCTAAAACTGTTCATATGTTATGTTTTAGTTTGATAACTTTTTCAGCGATTCTATAGATAATTAGATTGATAGATAAATTGAATTATTTATCTATCTGCATATAACTACTGTTAGAAATATTGAAAAGCTCAATCGTAAATTTTCAAAAGCTAAAAATTCGGTAGATTTTATCAAATATTGTAAAGTTAAGTAAGCAAAAGTTGAAAGGAAGGCTATCGAGATGAAGAAAATCAGAAGAAAGACGCTGAAGTGTAGGGCAGTTAGGAATGAAAAACCTGCGGGTAATTTATGTAAAACAAAGGTAATGTAGTGGTGAAAACTGAATAATTTTAAGTAGATGTGTAAATTGTAGAAAAAGTGTTCGGTGTAGCTCGATAAAAATAATGTCGAAAAAGTTTGTTTTCGCTTCCAGACGATACCAAATGCCAAGTTATCGAATTGAGTTCGCATCAAGTTATGTTTTCATAAGATTTTACTGTATTTTATTCTTAGAATCGTTTCGAAAAATGTCTATTGAATCGAATGGTTTACGAACGGCTGCGATTTTGCGTGATTCTTTTCGTGAAGCTACAAGAAAAAACTTTACATTGCGTAAATGGGGTGCGATAAACATTTGCTAAATCATTTAAATTAAATGAATTATTCATATATAGGAATATAAATTTGCGATATATTTCCGTAGATTAGATGCCATCTTAAAAGACACAAATTTTAATTGACATATTTAGGGTACCTATGATGTGTTAGTTTCGATATATATAAATAATCTTGAGATTCCTTAGACCCTAGGTGTTGTCAGGGTTTTTTTCGGGGGAGGGTTGTTGAATATTGCTTTTCTTTGATATTTGCAAAATACAAAACGTTGACAAACGCAACTTGCTTGTCCTAAATATAACAAGAAGAAGTTGTAGGGATCAAACATTCATTTATTAACAATCTTATGTATTAATTATTATTAAAGATTATTGAAATTTTCAATGTTACCTATTCTATGTTAATTTTTATGTCTTTACTTCTCTCTCGATTTCTTCCCTTTTTTTCCTGATAGCTTGTAAACGAAACGGTTCGAGATTCACGTGGGAATAAAGATAATATTTTATTACGCCTGAATTGTGTTTGTTTTATTTATTTTAACTCACAACAAGGTGTCTTGTTAGTAGCGGAAGTTCGGATTGAATGATATCGACATGATATCCATCAAGTTGCCCACCTTTATGGATACAGCATCGACAGGATGGTTCGCAATCGCTGAAGGTACTCCTGGACAATGGAGAGCTTGCGGAGATTATCGTTGTGTAAATGCCATTACGAAACCAGACAGATGTTGTAAAAATATTCCATTTTTAAGATGTAGTCACTCATCAAAGGCTTAACTATGGCTTCTTGCCCCACCCTACCCTATCCAATTCCAAATATTCACAGAATCTCAACTAAACTACATAGCAAAGAGATATTTTCAAAATTGGACTTATTAAAAGCCTATCACCAGATACCAGTACATAAAAACGATTTTGGAAAAACAGCCGTAATAACACCTTTTGGACTCTTTGAGTACATGTTTATGCCTTTTGGTTTGCGAAATGCAGGATGTGTTTTTGTTTATCTAGACGACATTCTCATATTTTCAGAAAGCACTGAACAACATGATGAAGATTTAGAAACAGTATTTCAAATCCTTAGCGAAAATAATTTGAGAATCTCCATAGACAAGTGCCAATTTTTCAAAGAAAATCTAAATTACCTAGGATTCAACATCAGCGGTGAAGGACTATTTCCTACAAAAGAAAAAATAAACGAAATTGAAGAATTTCCAGTTCTAAATGATACTAAATCTTTACGTAGATTTTTAGGAATGATTGGTTTTTATCGCAAACTCATTCCACAATTTGCAGATATTGTATTTCCATTAACAGAATTAATAAAGTTACACCCAAACTCAAAAACAATAGTGTTTAATAACGAAGAATTGGAAACCTTTAAAACCATCAAATCTAAACTTGCCAACGTAACAAAACATTCATATCCAGGTTCAAAACGTACAAAATAACATAGTTACTGACAGTTCTGCTTACACCATAGGTGCAGCGCTGCATCAAGTAGTTGATTCAACTCCTTTACCAATCGGTTTCTACTCTAAAAAGTTAACTGAACCACAACGTAACCTTTCTACATTCGACAGAGAACTATTAGCAGCGTACCTTGCAGTCATCTATTTTAAATATCAGATTGAAGGAAGAAATGTAACTTTATTTACAGATTACAAACCATTATGCGCTGCCTACAAAAAGAAAACATCATTAAAGTCAGACTTTCAAAAACGATATCTTTCAATAATATCCGAATACATTGCAGACGTCATCTATATCTGCGGTGAAGAAAACGTTGTTGCAAATTGTCTCTCTCGGCCAGCGATTGCTGTAAAGATAGATGTCTGTGACTTGTCGTCGATAGCCGAACAACAAGAAATTGATGATGAAATAAAATCATTCAAGGATCAGTTGAAACAATATCCAATTGGCGATAACAAAAAAATATTTTGTGATGTATCAACACCATACCCCAGACTATACATCCCAGTTAATTTGAGAAAAGCCATATTTGACAGCCTTCATAACCTCTCACATCCAGGCATCAAAACATCAATACGATTAATCAAATCAAGATATTTTTGGCCAGATATTGACAAACAAATAAGAACATGGTCAAGAGAGTGTTTAAACTGTCAACAAAACAAAATTCACCGACACACAAAATCTACTGAAACACCAGAAACAGCAACAACATCAGGCGCAACAACAACACAAGAAACAAGACCGACGTCAACCAAATCCGAACCAACGACCCAACACTCCAGAAAACAGAGGCGAATAACATTCAACAAACGAAATGAATATTTTTATTTTTAAACGGCTCCGCCTTTTTTGGGGGAGTATTGTAGGATCAAACATTTATTTATTAACTATCTTATGTATTAATTAATATTAAGATTATTGCAATTTTCAATGTTACCTAATCTATGTTAATTTTTATGACTTTGTTTCTCGATTTCTTCCTTTTTCCTGATAGCTTGTAAACGAAACGGTTCAAGATTCACGTGGGAATAAAGATAATATTTTATTACGCCTGAATTGTGTTTGTTTTATTTATTTTAACTCACAACAAGGTGTCTTGTTAGTAGCATAAGTTCGTGCTAACAAAGTAAAAATAATAAACACGTGAAAACACTATCAAAATACATATGTAAATACATATTAAAACCTATAAATAATTTATAACAATAGAAGGATGAATAACATACAACGTTCCTATAATAGATTTTTTCAATTAAATATATCAAAAATAAGCCAAGAATCTAAATTTAAATTATAATTGACCTTCAATCAATCAATCAATTAGCTTTTAAAGCGCTATTTCCGCGATGTTCAACGGCGCTCCTCAATGAGTTTTGAAAACAGATGGGTCTTGAGATCCGCTTTGAACTTTGTAAGTGATGGAGAAGTAGTCAGAAAAGTAGGTAAAGAGTTCCAGAGAAAAGGGCCAGAAAAAGCAAAAGCAGATTTGGCAAAAGAGTGTTTAACACGAGTTAAGAAGAAGCGAGAACAAGAAGACGATCGTAAATCGTTTAGGTTCAATTAATATATCTGATAAATACTTAGGAAATAATTTAGATTAAGACTTATACATGAACGTGCAAATTTTAAAAATTATTTTATATTTTATAGGTAGCCAGTGCAAGAGAACAATATATGGAGATATATGAGAAAAGAAAGGGGCATGAGCAACTAGACGAGCAGCAGAGTTAAAAGCTTCATTAAAGCCAGTCTATTTAGCGTTAGCCTATTTTCAGATGTGATAACCCGTAGATAAATTTTAATTAGATTAGAAAATGTTGTTACTGGTGTGGCGGTAGATACTGGCAAAGTTGCCAAAATGTGAAGTAAATATTTTGTCCCAAGTCTAGGCATTCAAAAGTAGATTTTTCGGAAACAAAACTAGATTTCGATACCTGATAATACGCTTCAATTAGTGTTTCATTTTATTCTCTTAATAATAGGTCAAACTATATTATGCCTTATCAAAGCCAAAACAGGTTTTGAGTGGGGTACCTCAGAGTGGGGTTTTGAGCCTGTTGCTTTTTCTTATTTATATTAACGACATTTCATCTGTATGTTCAGAGAATAGCAAGAACATACTGCAGAGGTCTTCCATACAAGGATCGGTTGAGGAAATTGGAGTCGCCATCTTATGTCTACGGACGTCTAAGAGCAGACCTTATTTTGTTATATAGAATAATACATGGTCAGCTCCCTGCCAATGTTGTCCCACACGATGTTCGTACAAAGGACCATAATCTCAAGCTAACTATAGGTTCTAGCCATAAAGACTGCCGTAATTTTTTTTTCTCGAGTAGAGTAATGGAAGAATGGAACAAACTGCTTTCAGCCGTTGTTAATGCCATCTCCCCGAGCGGTTTCAAGTCATCAGTCGATAGCTACTACGGTACTCCAAGTTTAGCCGGCCATCAAATTTCTAATTTTGCCTGTACTGTTAAATCCCTTTTGCTTGTTGAATTAAAATTAGATTCATCGTCATTTATCGATTTAATTATCATCATTTTGGATTTTGTGTACGTTCTTATAGGTTCATGTGTTATTATTCAGTTCAATATTGTTGACATTGTTTTTGCTTATTACATCTGGTATATTATTATTCTTATTTGTGTTTTGATTTTTCTGTATTTGTTTGGGGAAGGGCTATGCTCGTGCTACTTGAAATAATAATAATAATTCTTTTACATTTGTTTTCGATGTTGCATCAAAATTTAGAAGCTACAAGAACGAGAGCGCTGTTACAGAAGTGCGATGTTTTTCAAATGTTTATGACAATTATGTAATAGTGTTTGGCAATGATGTGAATAAATTGTTTCTGTAATATGTGGTGGCATCCGCTGCGTAGAAGTTTGAACAAAGCTGTGTAGAAGGGTTTAATGATGTGATAAATCGAGAACTAGCATTTATTTTTGAATGGTGTCTTGCCAATAAAATGACTATTAATTTAAAATAAAACATTCTATCTAGTTTTTGGTCCTAAAATATAAACTAACTTATTGTATTTCAAAATGTCCATTAATGATAACCTAATTGAAAGAACAGAAACAATAAAATTTTTAGGGGTGATTATCAAATCTGACCTTTCATGGATAAATCATATTAGCAATACTTCTCAAAAAATTTCTAAAATAAAATGGTATAATCCGAAGATTAAAATCTATTTACCCGTTTCATATTATTATAATGTTGTATTATTCATTAATTTGTCCATATTTAATATATTATTTGTCTATCTGGGGCAATAGTCCTATTTGTTATTTAGCATTATTATTAAAATATCAAAGGTATTTTTTAAGAATTTTGTTTAACGTAAGAAAATTTAACCACGTCAGTCATCTCTTCAAAATAATCAAAATACTTCCAATAAGCAGCTTGTATACATTTTATTTGATGCTATTTTTTATAAATTATATAAAATTAATTTGTCGTCGTATGCAACGGAAGTTATTACTCGATTTAAGTTTAAAAATAATCTGCATGTTAGACATGCAAATGAGTTTTATTTGCCGGTGACAAGGACAAAGATATATAGCAATATCACCTTGATATGTGGATTAAAAACTTGAAACAAGCTAGCGACCAATATACAACAATCGCGATCTCACTGGCAGTTCAAGTCTGACATCCATAAACTGATAGAAACAGATGCAATTTAATCAATCTTTTTTCATTGATTTTTTTCTTTTTTGTTTTACAAAGCAATATTGTGTTTTTTCTTTTTTTTGGACATTATAAACAAATATTGTTTTATTAATTAGTTAAATTGACAGTTGAACAGCATAATTTCTCTTAGTTAAGTTGCCACCCAAGCCCTGTGGGCTACTGGTTTTACTTAATAATAAATAAATAAAAAAATGGTGTTTATGCAGTATTCCAATTTAAGTCGCAATAACGTTTTATATAGATCTAACATTATTGATTAACTTCTGTTAACAATTGTTCTTTTTATCATGCTAAGCTTATTGTTTGCTCTTATTGCTGCTTCTATGCATTGCCTAATAGATTCCACACTTTTCCAAAGTCCCTTTCTTCCGATGAAAATTTTAGAGGTCTGTCTCCAAATTTTAATATATTTTGTTTGTTTTTTGTCCCTATGTAAATGACGAAGCATTTATCTATGTTAAATTTCATCTGCCAGTTTTCTGCCCATCGGTGAATATTTTTTTTAGATCGGTTCGCAGTCTTTCTACATCCTCATTTTTATCCACCACCGCACAGAGCTTGGTATCATTCGCAAATTTGACTAGCTTATAATAAATATCATTATCAATATCATTGATGAAAATAATAAACAACAGTGGCCCCAGCACTGAGCCCTGTGGTACAATATGACAAAAGATCCCAATCTGCTTACCGTGTGACGCGTCATTTAACATGTACTCGAATACGATATTTGTGAGTTGTTGATTTTTCCAAACTTATGAAGTGTAATAGACTTTTAAACTTAAGGCATATGTATATATTTTTTATGTATATGTATAATGATAAACAAATTTATTTAAGAAAACAAAACCTTCCATCCCTGATATAAAATTGCAGGTTCACTTTTCACTTGCTTTTTAACTTATCTGGCGCGCCAGTTTCTTCGGATATCGGGGTAACTTTTTATTTTAAAATTTGGTTCAGTTGAATTGGTGTGGATGCTATTATTAGATGCATTCTTTTAATTAAAACAAATTGTTATTCGTTTTTTGTATTAGTAGGTCAGGTTGGTTGGCGGGTCTGTCAAAACTCTAACAACTAACATATACTCATATAGTAATTAGTTAGATTTAAAAAAATTTACAACTTTAAATTAACTTTAACTGTTAAAGTTAAATTAAATTAATAAACACAACTAACAATAACTGCTAAGAAAAGAGCTAATTCCAATAAATGAATTTTAACTTATTTAACTACCAATGAAATGAATAATGGTTCTAACTAGCAGTATATAATAATCTTTTTTTATTTTTTATTTCACTAGTAAGTTTCTGTAAAAAAGTAAACCAAACAAAATAAATGTAACACTAATTAAAAAGTAAGGGCATATTGAAAATTTCACAAATCCGCCAGCTAAATTGTTACCAAATAACTTCTTAACCAATATGTGCGTAATGGTGTGTAGTAACTAGGGATGCACCGAAGTTCGGCCCCGGCTCCGGCCAAAATCCGGCTTTTTTATCGGTGGCCGGATTTATGGCCGGATTTAAGCGTCTATCGACATATAAAAATGTTATAAATAGAAAAAAAAATTTCATTGAATTCAATTAATTTTATGTCAATAAGTTAAAAGCTAAGCATACATGACACATAATAACAACATCACTAATTGTGAAATGAGCTAGACAATTTTCTTTGTGCTATAACATGGGTTATGCATAAATTATGAGCTGATCTTTTTGTAAAAGAACTTGTGCACGTGTTTATACTATATAATTGTATATGACGGATCATATAGCTACATAATATATATATACATAAAGATACATAAGCGCGTAATTTAAGAACATGGTATGTTAAAGGTTAGGCTAGGCATACATGACACATAATAACAACATCACTAATTGTGAGATGAGCTGGACAATTTTCTTTGATGCTATAACATGGGTTATGCATAACTTATAAGCTGATCTTTGTGTACAGAATTTGGAGTATCACACAGCTTATTCATATATTTGAATTAATTAACTATTTGCTTGGTGTTATTTTTTGATGTTCAACATGTAGATAACCGTAAATGTGAGTATTTTTTCTAACGTATGTAAAATGGTAAATCCGGCTCCGGCCCCGGCCGGTTTTTGAATTTTAAATCCGGCCCCGGCCGGATTTGAAAAACCTGAATCCCGTGCATCCCTAGTAGTAACATGTGTTAAAATGTTGAAATTCCTGTAGGAAATACCAAAAAAAGTTATTGAAGTTAGGTTTAGGCTATCAATAGACAATTTTTCAAAAAAAAAAAAAACAAAATTAAAAAAAATGTTTTATCTTACATAGCTATATTACAATCGCAATTATTGTTATTCACAATGTCAAATGCTTCAAGTTTTATTATTTATTTCTTCGTCAAACTCCTTGTCATTATAAATGCAATTCTTGCATGTAATTTTCTTTGCAGATTCCACAGGCTGAGACTCATGTGACACATTCTTTTTACAGGTGCATTGTCTGTTATTGTAATCTCTCATACTGAGGATCATGGGCTTTGATGACCCAACCTGCAGCCCATATTGTATCACTCAGAGTTAGGAATGGTTGGTCATGAGCCAAAGAAATGAAAAGCTCAGTGATGGGTTGAAACTTAATGGTGTTTATTCTTTCCTGTTTTTTGTTGGTAAATGGAATAATCTTGACTTCAGTTTCCTTCAGGATTTTATCCTTGTGGGATGCCGTCAAATTCATTCTGGGGACAGTTGCTATTTGTAGATCTGGCAAAGTGATGATGAAGTGGTAACTTTGATCCAACCATTTGAATGAAAAGGAGTGTTTACATATTGGGAGACAATGCTTAAGTCTAAATTGCCCTAAAAAACTTATTAACTGCATTGTTTATTTCACCAGTTTCTGTAGAGACCTAATTACTGTTGAAAGGCAATTCACTTTTTGTGGTTAATGTCAGTGATTGGTAAATCAAGTGCAGCATCAACTGCAACCTCATCATTGATCTGATCATCCATTTTTTCTACAATGGTGTCAAGATCAGCAGAATATAATGCGCCTACCCCTCATCCGCTAGTAATGAAGCAGTATTTCTACATTTGTATTTTGAGTGAAATTCCGTGTATCCGAGCAGGTGTAACTTATTGACAATTCATTTGGACCCAAATCTGTGATCAAGTTGCATGGCAAGCCCCATTCAGTGTGGCATTACTCCTGACTGAGGTCAAAATGTCTTGCTTGGTAAAGTTCTGACCCCGAACGGCAACTTTCATCTGTTTTTTAATTGGTCTTAGGAGCATCTGAAAATTTGGAGGAACTAGCCTTAGTTGACTATCAATGTCAGCCAAACTATGTGTTGTTGGGTATGAATTTGGATCTAGATCAGTTAGGGCAATATCATTGATTATAAGCTTGATTGCTGTCTTTATAATCTGATTTTTCTCATCTCCGTGCTCTAGATTAGTGTGATGTTCTTGCAAAATGTTGTCAGTGCAATCTGAGAGGAAAAGCACATCTGTCCTTTTCTCCTGTCTTGTGAAGTACAACGTGTCATGATACTTCTTTTTGGGTTTTCTTTTCAGCTAATACTTTGAAAAAGTGAAGCTCTTATTTGGTGACTGGTCAAACTCCTGCAGTTTAGTGTGGACATGGTTAAGTGTAGTTATTCCATGCTCTATTTCTGATTCAAACCATTTTCAAAACTCAACAGAAACAGCTTTTTGTTTTTCATCCGTTTTCGTTTGTCCTCTCTTTTTCTTTCCTTTTCATAATTTTTTAAGTAATGTCCATCTATTTCAAAAAAATTTCACAGCACAAGTGGTACAGTGTTTCTTTTGCTATCAAGTTGTTTATCCCTTACAGGCGTTCAGTGACTTCTCCAAGACTCTTTGCTGTCTTTGCAAGATTGTTTTTAGCTTATCTGCAGACAAATTTTCCGCCACTCTATTTTTTCTAGCTTCAGCCAGGTTATTTTTGTAAAGTTGTGCAGGTTGGTTGCAAAGAATACACATTTATCTTTATAAGGAAGGTGAACTGTTGATAAATTTTTAGAACTACTCCCAACAGATATACTGAACTTTGATAAATCTTTGTGTGCCTGCAAATCTTGAGACAATTTTTTGGTGATATCAGCAACATTTTTGTATAGATCATTTTAAAATTTTATGTGGTACCTCATGTTTTTATTTTTGTGAGTTTCCTGTAAACATCCCAAAATTTTATAATCATTTACCACTTCTGCATGCTTTAACTATGTGAAATGGCCTTTCACAGTTGCTTGTATGAATCCCTGAGCTAGTGTGTTCGGGCCATCACAGATAATCAATTGTGTGCAGAACTGACGTCATCCATGTTAAACCACACAATAATGCAATCCTAAAAATTAGAGACAGCTAAAAAATAGTTTTACATTAATAAAGTGTATATAGTGAAATATAAATGCTAAACACATGTTAAGAATGATTAAAAATTCTTTGTTTATCTTTGTTTGTTTTGTGTAGTTGGTGACTCATGTATCAAACATGACAAAAATGAGATGGTTCTTGAACAAGATGAGATCAAGCTACAGTGGAGAGAATACTTAAACAGTCTGTTAAACGAAACATATCCCATCAATGTTAACTTTGACGCTCCACCCATCGAAGGTCCGATTCCAGACATCACTGTAGAGGAGCATACAGAAGCTCTGAAAGCTATGAAGGATGGAAAGGTAGCAGGGCCTTCTGGACTCACAAATGACATTATCAAAGCATCTGGTACTGCAGGTATCCATACGTTACTGCAACTTTGCCGTGAAGTGTGGAGAAATTGTTCAATGCCGACTGAATGGAACTATAGCGTGACAGTTCCACTATACAAAGGCAAAGGTGATCCATTGAACTGTTCATATCGGGGTATACGTCAGTTAGAACACTCCCTGAAAATTGTCGAGAAAATCATTGAGAGAAGATTGACGTCGTGCATCACAATCGGAAATTATCAATTTGGTTTCCTAGCGGGGAAATCAACGATTGATGCAATTCACATCCTTCGGCAACTGCAAGAGAAGTACCTCGCAAAGCATCAACAACTATCACACATTTTTGTAGACCTTGAAAAAGCATTTGATCGAGTTCCCCGTGAAGCAATCAGGTGGAGTCTACGTCGACAACTCATTCCAGAATATCTTGTTCGACTTGTGATGGAAATGTATACGAACACTAAGACTCTCGTCAGCACAACGGTTGGAAACACAGATGCATTTGACATCGGCGTTGGAGTTCACATAGGCTCGATTTTCAGTCCACTGTTATTTATAACTGTGATGGAAGAAATCACAAAACCTATACGTACTGGTGACATTTGGAATCTAATATATGCTGATGATATCGTTTTAACAGCCACGTCTGAGCAGAATGCAGCAGAGATGTTTGAAGATTGGAACACCAGACTCGCCGATCAAACGTTGTTCAAAAATAATTGGTACTTTATCTAAAGTGTCCAATTTTGTTTGTCCTGCTTGCATCAATCCACAACAACAATTTCGAAGTAGCACTGTTTTTGAAGCCATTAAAATAGAGAAAGTCACATCGTTTCAATATCTAGGGGATGTCTGGATTGTACTGGAACAGCTGAAGCTGCCGTTCAAGCACGCATACGTGCAGCCTGGAATAAAAGGCATCTCCTTGCCTCTATATTGATGCGGCGTGACATCCCACTACCACTACGATCAAGACTTTATAAATCTGTGATACTTCCGGTCTTGTTATATGGTGCAGAAACATGGCCAATGACAACCAAACTGGAACAACAACTTCAACGAACCGACATGAAAATGCTCCGATGGATGCAACGAATTAGTCTGAAGGACCACATCAAATCTACCGAAATCCTGCGTCGTTCTGGTTGAGATGATATAAAGGACGTATGCCGGCAACACCGTCTGCGGTGGTTTGGTCATGTCAAACGAAGTGAAAACAGTGCCATAACTTCTCTTGCAGATGTTGAAGTACCTGGTACACGTCCCAAAGGCCGTCTAAAGAAGTCCTGGTCGCAAACAATCGAGCAAGACATGAAAGCTCTAAATTTAAATGAAATGGATACAACTGATCGTCTAATTTGGCGCAAAAAGTTGATGGCAAAGAAAACAACGTCCTACCTCGGAGAACCAGGTCTCTGGACGCAAAACGAAGATTGATCTTTGTTTTGTAATGAAATTTTCAAAAATTGCTATTCAGTAGCCTAATTTTAACAACATTTTTGGCATTATCCATGGAATTGAGTTTCAACATTTTTACCCATGTCAGTATACACCTTTACAAACATAATAGTAAAGAAATTGTTTGGTAACAATTTGGTTGGCAGATTTTCATATCTTTCCCATACTATAACACGGTGGCCATTTCTTAAGAAGAAATGAATTAACACTGATTAGCAGAGACACAGGAAAAAAATTTATTTTTAATTTTCATGTTATCTGTTATCACTATATGACTATAACAATAGTGATGACAATATGATACCCTGGTAATTATTTTTTTTTTTTTTTTTAGTTTTTTAATAACTTAGCAACATTTAATCTGTAGTTTTCCACTTTCCGTTTTTTTGACTTTTTCTGCATATTTATGTGCATTATTTGATTAAAAAAACCAGTTTATTAACATTCTTTCAATCATCTTTTGTCAAAACTAACTGTAAGCACAAACACAGTTGGCCTTCTCTGCAAAGCAAGTTAGTCTCCCTGTTAATAATCATTACTTTATGATAAAGTAATGATCATTGGCAATTAAACATTTGTACATGCGTTGAGATGCTATAAGGCATGGGAACTGCCTACCAAATTCAATGTTCTCATATGATATAAAGCATGAAAACTGCATATCAAAAACGACATTCTTATATGATAGAAAACATGATAATCGCCTGCCAATTAACATTTAGATGTAATGTGTTAGAACTGCACAATGAATTTGACTTTGACGTAAGGCGTGAAATCTGCACAACAAAGTCAGAGTGATGTAACTTGTTACCTGTAGATTTGACGAAATTCAACAATATGAGCCGACATATTTTCAAGAAACGATTGAAACAACGTTTGTTATGACATTCTTGAGTGAAGCTAGCGCATCTGAAGTTATTCAACAGCTCCATCAATTCTTGGATCTTATTTTCTAATTTTACCCATGCATCACTCAAGAAATATTTGTTCAAGGTGGACATATTAGCACGGTCATCTTATTATCAACTGTAGCTAAGCGATCCATCTGAACACAGCTTTTGGCCGTTTTTTGGGATAAAACCCATGACAGTCTGAGTTGATGCTGCACAGATGGAAACAATTTTTTGAATAAAAATCTTTGTTTCTGAAAGAGTTGCTGTTTCTTTTTGCTGGGCGTCTTTGCATTTGATGGCAACAGGTTAGAGAATGTTAGAAAAACTTTCTAATTTTGGTACAGCAAAAAGTGTTCCTTGTTTTGATAAAGTAATGATCATTGGCAATCGTTCTTCCTTTAAACTTATTATGCTTTGGCAAGGCAATAATTTTAAATCTCAACGGAAAGTCTCAGTTAGTGGAGAATTGTTTTGGAAATGTGATTTTACGCCCTCTGCTTTCTACTGATGAACCTGCGTTCTAATTTGTTGTATTGACGCGTTGTATTGACGACTTGTTTATAAAAAATTCATCAACACTGAAATTTATTGCTCCCATTTAAATTTAAAGAATGTAAACAGTTTTCTTTCACGATCAACTGACATACGTAGCACTCCACTTGTAAGATGACAGACGGATAAACGGGGGTAAATAAAATAATCCTAAGTCCTTGAGATATATAGGTAGACAAAGATAGATAAGAACATACGATATTGATTGAAAAATTAAATTTTATTCAATAAAAAGTTTTAACTGAAATATTTTAATTTTAGATACTTCACTATACATTATTATTATTATTACAGATCATATCACTTTGAAGCAAATTTTCTTGATTTTACCTAAATATTATCTGTCGGACGACCAATATGGTTAGGACAAAAAGTGATTGCAGTGACAGAAAAGGTGATTAAATATAAATTTATATTGAAATGTTTGTATGTTTGTTCTTTGTATTTACTCTAAATTTATTATGATGTGAAACTAGGCAAGCTAATTCAAGTCTGTTGTAAACGTTCACTTTATCAACCATATTTTTGTAGAGTGACTTTATAAAAACTATCAATCAATCTTCGTTTTGCGTCCAGAGACCCGGTTCTCCGAGGTAGGACCTTGTTTTCTTTGCCATCAACTTTTTGCGCCAAATTAGACATCAGTTGTATCCATTTCATTAAAATTTAGAGCTTTCATGTCTTGCTCGATTGTTTGCGACCAGGATTTTTTTTTGACGGCCTTTGGGATGTGTGCCAGGTACTTCAACATCTGCAAGAGAAGTTATGGCACTGTTTTCACTTCGTTTGACATGACCAAACCACCGCAGACGGTGTTGCCGGCATACGTCCTTTATATCATCTAAACCAGCACGACGCAGGATTTCGGTTGATTTGATGTGGTCCTTCAGACTAATTCGTTGCATCCATCGGAGCATTTTCATGTCGGTTCGTTGAAGTTGCTGTTCCAGTTTGGTTGTCATTGGCCATGTTTCTGCACCATATAACAAGACCGGACGTATCACAGATTTATAAAGTCTTGATCGTAGTGGTAGTGGGATGTCACGCCGCAT